TGGTACATTCTTATTTGGGACGGTACGTTTATTAGTCCCTGTTCGGACGTAGTCCGAAAACAGGGACTTATGGTTTGCCTTGTGTGCGTCCGTGTGTCCGTGCGTCCGTGATCACCTGTATCTCGAACATGCATGGACCGATTAAGTTCAAACTTCACTCATACATCACACATTATATTGGACATATGCACATGTATTTTTTCCATGATCCGATTAACAATAGCCGAATAGCGGCCATTTTAAGGATGAAAATGCATCAAAATCGTACATTTCACCATTCCGGACCCGGATCTCAGTTATGCATGGACGGATTTTGTTTAAATTTAATACATATATTAAACATAATAGGACCTTGATGCACATCATTTTTTTTTTGGGATCCGGTTTGAAATGGCCGACTGGCGGCCATTTTGTTTTAAAAAATTCAGTTCTGGATCCGTATCTGAGACATGCCTGGATTGATCGAGTTCAAACTTCACACACACAAGGTACATCATGTCACAAATATGTATGTGCATTTCTTTCATGATCTCATTAATGATAGCCAAATGGCGGCCGCTTTAAGGCTGAAAATGCATTGAAATCACACATTTTCACCATTCCAGACCCGGATCTCAGTTATGCATGGACGGATTTTGTTCAAATTTGGTACATACATTAAACATAATAGGACCTTGATGCACGTCATTTTTTTTTTTCGGATCTAGTTCGAAATGGCCGACTGGCAGCCATTTTGTTTTAAAGAATTCAGTTCTGGATCCGTATTCGAGACATGTCTGAAGTTCAAACTTCACACACACATGGTACATCATGTCACAAATAGATATGTGCATTTTTTTCATGATCCGCTTAACAATAGCTGAATGATGGCCATTTTAAGGCTGAAAATGCATCAAAATCACGTATTTTCACAATTCCGGAACCGGATCTCAGTCATGCATGGATGGATTTTGTTCAGATTTAGTACAATGTGTTGTACATATGCAGGTGCATTTCGGAAAGTGGTCTGAGATTTCGGTCATGATCTGCTTTGAATGTATATGTCACTCAAATATGAACGGACATGTCATTGACAATGACTTGTTTATTTTTTTAAATCGGGCCGATTAAAAAAAAATCATGCCTTTTTCCCCATGACAAACGAAGCAAATGGATCGCACTAAAACATCGGTAAATCTGGTCTTCGTGTTGCTTTCACCATGAGATCGCTGAACTGTCATATTTAAATGCTTTATGGTAATTTGAGAACATGGGCACCATCCAGCATTTTGATTGGTTGATTAGCGACTTGACCTATCTGGTCAATAATCACGCCTCGTGGGCATGGATAACATGACGGATATCGTCTCGCATCTCGCATGTAACCGAAAGCATTTGCTTACAATAAAACTAAGTTGAATTTTACTTGCATTTCGTAACAATTCAACGAATTTATTTTTTGTACATTAATATAATCACTACTGAGTACTAATCAACAATTACAA